TATATCAGAGTAGAACTGTGCTTCATAGTTCCAGTGACTGGTTTATCAGCAGTAGATCACCATGCCTTTCTTCCAAGGTCCCTTGAGTTGAGTCAAGCTTTAGTCTTTCCAGTAGCAGTCAAAAGTGCTAACTTTAGTACCATCTATGGACTCTTTCATTTGGTATATTGTTGGTTGTTGTAAACCGACCTTGATTTGGCTACTTGAGTTGTGCTGTACACAACTGCATTGTGATTCATAGGATTTTCATTGGCTTATTTTTGGAATTAGATCTATAAGGCACAAAATCACATATCATCAAGAACTTTTTTCTTCAGGGAATTTGATCAGTAGTGGTTCAGCTTTTATTGGTAACATGCATTACTTCAAAATTAGCTACTACTGTAGCCTTCACCTTTGGACTATGACAAGAAAGTGTGGTGGGATCTTATCCAGAAAATTCCTGGCTCTCTGTAAAGGCTTTTCTATCATGTAGTTTATCTATTCCCTCTAGCAAATCTCTCTGTTTTTTAGAATGGGTCCTATGACTACAAATCAAGTAGGTAGGATTACTATTATAATAATGTCTGAGAAGGGCAAATTATTTTCAGAATGTTATATTTCATTACATTTATATGTGAGACAGTAACCCCTCAAACCGGAAAAAAGCTCTGCTGGGCAGAGCCTTCCTAGTAGCATTTTTCCTGCTAGGCAAGCATCAAGCAACTTGATCTGAGTTAGTGTACCCAGTGACTGCCACATGGGAAGGTTCTCTCTGATCACAGTGAACTTTTTTGTAAAAGCTGTTATGCTTGAACCTCGTTTTTTGTGATGGCTGATTTAAGAGAACAGTGTGCGGCTGTGATATTTTGTTTCCTGCTCATGAAAAATACCGCAGAAACAGTTGTGATGTTGATTGGAACACGGCTGACAGAGTCATGGGAAAACTCAAGTGTGCTAGTGGTTTTCATTTCAAAAAAGGCGGAATGTTGATTGATGACAAACCTTATTCTGGACGTTCAGTTTCGCAAGGATGAAATGTTGACTTGTAGTGCATTTGGAGTTCATTCTACCAGGCCAGACTGTTAATCAAGCTTTTTATTTGGAGGTTCTGAAAAGATTGCATAACAGTGTGTGACAAAATTGTCCTGATTTGTGGAAGACAGGGACTGCTTTTGCCACCACTACAATTCACCTGCTCATGCAACCATCTCAGTGTGCCCGTTTTGGCAAAAAACAGCAAGCCTCTCTTGCCCCCCACACTTTACTCACCTGACCTCACTCCATGTGACATCTATTTGTTATGAAGAGGGACATGGAAGGATAGCGATGTGATGATGGTAGAAGAGGTGAAGAACAGAATGAGCAAGGTGCTGTTAGCCATCCAAACAAATGAGTTTGAAAAATGTTTCTAGGAATGGGAATTGCAAATTTGGCAAATGTATAATGGAGAGAACTTTGAAGGTGATAAGGTTGTTTTGTAGAAAAATTTAAACACATGTCTCTGAAAAAAAATTCTGTTTTTGAGAGGGCACCCCCTCATATTTATTTTACATATTTGGAACAAAACTAAGATTTAGGATTAAATGAGTTTTCTTACTATTCTTAATATAGTCAGTACCTGCAATCATCTACGAGTTGGTGTGGTGGTCTTTCACTCACTGCCAGATGCAAAAATGACATGGAGATGGCATCTGACTTCTAACTTTTACAAGGAGGGAGGATGAGAGAGTCACATTAGCATCAGCCAAGGCTGATTCCTATGAGGTTCAGTTCAGGCAAGCATCCACCCTCTAATCTATTTTACCAGTTCTGACACCAACTATGTATCCCATGGCACTCTACCTCTCTATGGGTTCAATAATTTATTGCAGTAGCC